ACCTATTTTTTGTTAGTCGGGCTTTTCATATCGAGGAGAGCTTGGATTTTCATATCGAGGAATTTTCCCGGGGATACTCCAAATGAACACTTGAGGGGGTTTAGCTTCATTCTGGATTGCCGAAGGATGTCGAACATCTCAACGAGATGCGCTATGTGATTTGAAGCGACATGCGACTTGACCAGCATGTCATCTATATAGACCTCCATCGATTTTTTGGTCTATTCGAAGAACATTCGGTTAACCAGCCACTGGTAAGTTGCGCTAGCATTCTTGAGGCCGAAGGGCATAACTTTGTAGTAGTACAGCCCCCGATCTGTAACAAAGGATGTATGCTCTTCGTCCAACGTGTACATCAGAATTTGATTGTATCCTGAGTACGCATCCATAAAACTCAACAGCTCGTGTTCGGAGGTGGCATCCATGGGCTGGTCAATTCTGGGCAGAGGAAAGCTATCTTTTGGGCATGCCTTATTGAGGTCAGTGAAGTCGACGCAGGTCCACCATTTGTCATTATACTTCTTTACTAGAACCGGGTTGGCAACCCATGTTGGATAGAGCGCTTCTCGGATGGATCCATTCCGAAGAAGATTATCTACCTCAAGTTTCAAGGCAACATATCGTTCCGAATCCATCGCTCTTTTCTTCTCTTCTAGCGAACCAGCTTGGCTTCGTTGTCAATGTTCAATGCATGGCAGCTAATATCCGGGCTGATCCCGACCATATCTGTATGTGACCATGCGAACACATCGATATTCTCTCTAAGGAAGCTGGTCAGTTCGGTGGCGAGCTAAGGTTGAGATTGCTCCCAATCCTTAATACTCTGTTTGGCTCGCTCTGATCGATCAACACTTTAGATAGATCCTCAACTGGCCCATTGGAGGGGCATTCATGAATACGAGGATCCATATTATCCTCGATTGGGCCAGGCTGTGGCTCAATCCGGTTGATCGCCATCGCCATCGCCATCGCCTATCGGGGAATGCCGTGCGAGATGCCTTTCCCTTTGCATGCCATCTATACTGCTTTTACATAACAGTCGTGAGATGCGCGTTGAGATCCGCTAACTTCCCCTATCCCCATCAGGGTAGGGAACTTCATCTTCAGATGGTATATCGAAGTGACTGCCTTAAAGTTTCTCAACAGAGGTCGCCCCAAGATACCATTAAAAGTGGATGGGCAATCCACTACCAAGAACTCAGTTACTTTGGTCACTTCATCAAAGTCACCCAATGTGACTGGAAGCAAGATCATTCCTTTGGGGATCAGGTGGTCCCCTGTAAAACCATATAGGGGGATCGAAGGGGGCTTCAGGTCAGCCTCATCCAAGTTCATTCTTTCGAAAGCTATCTGGAACAGGATGTTCACAGCACTTCCATTGTCCACCAACATTCTGTGGACATTATGGCGTCTTATCAGTGGCGTGATTACAAGAGCGTCATTGTGGGGATGATGCAATCGAAATGCATCCTTCTTGGAGAGGGTAATTTCCTCCTCCCTAAGAACCTTTTGTGGTCGCCACATCATTCTCATCCAACTGATGGGATCATGATAGGCTACGCGAGCATACCTTTCCTGGGCACCTCGCGAGTTCCCCACGGGTGTGGTCCCCCAAAGATCAAATTGATGCTGCATATACCTTTGCGATCACGTCGCTTCTTTCCTGGGTCCCCTTGCTTTTTCTTCTGTGCGAGAGTGGAGTCATCAATATATTCCTTGAAATGCCCCTGCTGGATGAGGTCTTCGATTGCCTGTTTGAGAGCTTGGTACTCATCGGTGTGATGCCCATTTTCCCGATGAAAGCGACAATATTTTTTACTATTTCTAGCTGATGGGGGATTTTTCATGGGCTCAAGCTCTCCGACCAGGCTAGGTTCTTCCGACTTATCAAGAGTAGCCGATACAGACGCATTCAAAGACATATACTGATTTCTGTCGCGATCACGACGAGGAACTGGAGTATAAGACTTTTTGGGCTCATAGCGCGATTTCTTTCCTTTTCGTTGATCATCAGTAGCCTGTTAGAGTAGATGCCCTAGAGCCAATCAATTATTGTAGAATTGACTCTTTGTAATAATGTTCATTAATCAATAATAAAAGGCATTTTATTCTATATCTTTCCAAGGATGTAGGCTGCCTCCCCTAAGTCCTTCATGGAGAAGCACTTAAATAACCAAGTCTTTACCGACTGCAAGTTCGGTATATCATTCCCGATCAGAAGTATGTCATCAACATACAACACTAGGAATGCTACTACGCTCCCACTTACTTTCTTGTAAACACAGGGCTCATCTTCATTCTTGATAAAACCAAATTCTTTTACGGTTTCATCAAAACGAATGTTCCAGCTCCTTGAAGCTTGCTTGAGTCCATAAATGGATCTCTGCAACTTGCATACCTTATTAGCTTGACTATCTAGAACAAAACCATCAGGTTGTGTCATATACACATCCTCCTCAAGGTTTCCATTCAGGAAAGCAGTTTTGACATCCATTTGCCAAATCTCATCGTCATGATATGCAGCTATTACAAGCATAATCCGGATGGATGGCGAAAAGGTTTCTTCATAGTCAATGCCATGAATTTGTTTGACTTTAGCAACCAGCCGTGCTTTATAAGTATGCATGTTGCCATCCATGTCAGTCTTCTTCTTGAAGACCCATTTACACCCTATGGGTTTTACCCCTTCAGGTGGTTCCACCAGAGACCACACTTGATTCTGGTACATGGAGTCCATCTCAGATTTCATGGCTTCAAGCCATTTAACAAAATCTGGATCCGATATAGCGTCTTCGTAGGTTCTGGGTTCATCGTCTTGGTAGACTAGTATGTCACCATGTTGAGTCACGAGATAACCGTATCTCTCGAGCTCATGGCGTACTCTCCCCAATCTACATAGCTCCTGTGCTACCTGAGGTGGTTCACTTTGTTCCACAAGTTGTGGAGTAACCTCCTCATGATGGTTAACCACTTCTTGTGGCACATCATCCTGTCCTTCGTCTAGTATATCTTGTGGTTCTAGAACTTCATCGAGTTCTACTTTTCTCCCTGATGGGAATGCAAAATGTCATATTTACCCCCCTTAATGTCTAGTCTTTTATACTTATTTTCTGCCTAAATATACTCATTATTATTCTATTTTGATTTAGGAGGTAAATGGAGGCGTTAATTGCAAAACGGAACTAATTAAGTGAATTCGGACAGTTTCAACGTTGTTTCGTAATCTGGGCATAACTCTCTCATCCGAGCTCCGATTTAGATGATTCAAAATGATGTGGAACGATAAGAAAGAGATATACAACTTTCATGTTTTGAGTTTGGAGAGATACTCGATGCATCAAGGTTGTAATCGAGCTTTAAGTTGACACATCTGCATTGGACGTCCTGGAACATTCTGCCTTGTCATGCAAATCAATTGGGCAATTTATTATTGGAGACATGTGGCACGCAAGTTACAGCTCAGAATCACCATTTTCGTATTTTGTATTAAGACTTTATTTTATTTCCAATTAATTAGATTAGGATAAATGTTATTTTAGGATAGGAGAATATTTCTTTTAGGAGATTGAGTGGGATTCGAATTCTAAAACTGGATTTTTGCTAAGGGGATCAGATTAGGTTTTGGGAAAAGGGGACCACGCCTCTCTCTTCTCTGCTCTGGAATTTTTCTTTCTTTTGAGTTTGGATTATGGCCATGAGCGGCTAAAGCTTTTGTAACTTGGTCGTCGGAAACGGAGACCTCGGAATCAACCAACTGTGAGATCTAATCTATTTTATTTTAGTGTTCAATTTTCATGTTTGAGTATTGAATGTTATTCTGTGCATATCTTCATGATTGATGCATTTAATTACTAGGAGGCCTACTAGTGGATTATTTGTTGCAATCTACTGCTAAGTTTGATATCAAATCCGTAATTGTTTGATCCCTCTAACTTGTGAAGCAATTAGGGTTAATAATTTGCTGCGTCAGGAATTAGTAATCTTAAGANGACGTTTCTAGAATGGCCACCATATGTGCTCATAGGGTTCTCACTATCAAGATTTGAAACACTTGATGCCCTCATCACGGTTCTACCATTCTAAGGACATATATCAAAATATATTGCAATAATATTGATTTACGCGATATAGAATAAAATGCCTTTTATTGATTAATGAACATTATTACAAAGAGTCAATTCTACAATAATTGATTGGCTCTAGGGCATCTACTCTAACACAACCACCTCAGAATGTCCCCAATAATATGCCATATAGGAACAATCCTTCCACTGAGCAAGGCAATTATAGGGAGCAACCTTCAATCCAACCACCCATCCAACCTAGGATCCCACCTCTCGTTCAGTAGCCCACTCTAATGCCCGGTTCACTAGAATCATTGATGGTCAAATGCTCCAAACCATACAGGAACACAATGCCGACATGAATGCTAGGTTCTAAGATTTAGAGCAGAATACCCAACTTCTACATTCTCATTCTGAATCCATTAGTAAGCTAGAGACCCAGATTGGTCAAATAACCAAAGCAGTCAATAGGAGAGAACAAGGCCAATTGCCTAGTCAAGTCATAGGTAACCCTAGTGGTTCTTCTCAGCAGAAAGGGTTTTCCGAACAAGCTAAGGTCGTGATGACTCTTTGGAGCGGCTGAGCGCTAATTAGGCTTGAGAAGGAAGTAAAAGTCCAGGGTAGAGAAGAGGAAAGTCTGGGTAGGGACCAAGCCAAAGAGAGTGAGAGTGAGCCACTTATAGAGTCAAGTGTTCAAAGACCGAGTAAGGAGAAAGTTGGGAGAATGAACCATCCCCTACATCATACATACCGAGAGCACAATTTCCTCAGTGCTGAGAGCCCCCAAATGTTTCCACTACTAGGAAAAGCGTTAGGATGGAGGAAATGCGTTAGTTGTTTAAGCAGGTGTAGATTAACATTCCACTCTTAGATGCCATTAAGCAAGTACCTACTTATGCCAAATTCCTCAAAGATTTGTGCACGCAAAAGAGGCGAATGAAATCTCATACAACTAAGACTGTACATTTACCGAAAAATGTAAGCGCGGTTCTCTCTAATCGCCTTCCCTCGAAGTTAAAGGGTCCTGGAGCTCCTATTATTTCTTATGTGATAGGTAATGTCACGATTGATAAAGCACTCTTAAACTTAGGGGCAAGCGTGAACTTATTACCCACTTCCATGCATGAACAGTTTAACTTAGGTAAGCTCAAGTCTACTGTAGTCATCCTGCAGTTAGCTGACCAATCGGTCAAAATGCCTAGGGGACTAATTGAGTACGTGTTAGTTAAGGTTGAGGAACTATATTTTCCAGTGGATTTTCTTGTCTTAGACATGGAGTATAAGAGCAATGGAAGTATGCCACCAATTCTTTTAGGGAGACCTTTTCTAGCAACGGCAAACACTTGCATTAACTGTAGATCAGGAGAGATGAAAGTGTCTTTTGGGAATAGGAAACTAAGACTTAATGTGTTTAATGCTGGTTTAGGGCCTATGCATGAGGACGATAACGAGTGTTTCATGGTTGATGTTATTGACAGTCCAGTGGAGGCTCACGCCCCACAAATGTTATGTGATTACACAATTTACACTCTTATGAATCCTTTTGTTGAGGAGATATGTAGCTTGAGGGTCATGTCTGAGATTCAGGAGGTTAGCGAGTATGTAGATAGGTCGCCCACTCTAGAGCGTCGACCTTGGAACATCAAGTATGAACCCTTACCACCTTTGTCTAAGACGACACAACCGAAGTCAATTGAGTCTCTACCAGTCTTAGAGTTGAAGGCCTTGCCCGATACTCTAAAGTATGTTTTCCTAGGACCTAACAAGACCTTACCCGTGATATGTTAGAGTAGATACACTAGAGCCAACCAATTATTGTAGAATTGACTTTTTGTAATAATGTTCATTAATCAATAATAAAAGGCATTTTATTCTATATCGCGTAAATCATTATTATTGCAATATGTATTTATATATGTCCTTAGAATGGTAGAACCGTGATAAGGGTATCAAGTGTTTCAAATCTTGATAGTGAGAACCCTATGAGCACATATGGTGGCCATTCTAGAAACGTCCGTAGCCCTAGTATTATTCTGAAGTAAGGGTACAGATAATACGGTAAGGCCATCACAGTGTTGAACGNTAATAAGACTCGCATTGCAAAACTTCAAAGGGATGGAGTTTTGGCCCCTTTTAACTTTCAGTCATTTGAGGTATGCGAGTCATGCTTGTTAGGCAAGCTGACCAAGTCTCCTTTCACAGGACAAGGTGAAAGGGCTACTGAACTGTTAGGCATCATCCATTGTGATGTATGTGGTCCACTAACAGTTGAAGCCAGAGGTGGATATTAATACTTCATCACATTTATTAATGATTTCAGTAGATATGGTTATGTCTACCTTATGAGACATAAATCTGAAGCCTTTGATAAATTCAAGGAATTCAGGAATGAAGTATAGAATATGTTGGGCAAAAGTATTAAAGCTCTTCGGTCGGATCAAGGAGGTGAATACTTAAGCTCAAGGTTTTCAGAGTACCTAAAGGAATGTGGGATAGTATCACAACTCACCCCTCTTTATACACCCCAACATAGTGGAGTGTCTTGTAACAACTGCTGAAAACTAGTACAATGCATGCATAATAACGATAGAAANAATTTCAATATGAACACGATAGAGAAAACCCTGTCAGAACTTCTGAACATGCTGAGGACTGCAGAGCAGGACTTGAAAAATTCCAAGCCTGTTTTACTGGTTGCTGCCAGTATAGCAAAGGGTAACGACAAGGGTAAGGCCAAGGCCAAACCCAAGCCCAAGCCCAAGCCCAAATGACAGGTTGCTCTTGGGCCTGAGAGTGGCATAGGGGAGGGAAAGGTAGTATACTTCTGTTGTGGCAAGCCTAGCCACTCGAGGAAACACTGCAAGGCTTTCCTCACAAGCTAGAAGAAGTCAGAGGCTACGACTTCAGGTATTTATATGATTGAGATTAATTTCTCTCCCTCAACATCTTAGGTCATTGACACAGAATGTGGTACTCACATTTGTACTGATGTGCAGGGACTAAGGCAGAGTAGAGTGCTTGCCAAGGGAGTGGTGGACCTACGAGTTGGAAATGGAGCACATGTGGCTGCATTGGCTATAGGGACTTACTATTTATCTTTGACTACGGGCTTGTTGTTGGAACTGCATAACTGTTATCACGTACCTTCTATTTCTAGAAATATTATTTCAGTATCCGCTTTGGATAATATAGGGTATCATTTTGAAATATTTAATGGATTGTTGTCCTTTAGTTTGAATGGTATTCTATTTGGAATTGTNATGGGAGAAGTTATCTCACGGCGCAATTTAGTATATGGCAATGACACTAAAACTGTGGCCACAATGGGATTGAGTTGTTGCTCTATCCAGATTATAATACAGGTCATTGGTCCAGAAATTGAATACATAATATCGAGAGTAACTGAAGGCTAACACTATTTCTATGCCTTCATCTCGTCAAGATAATGTATGATGAAAGGATTGTACGGTAACCATATCGTTGACAGGTAGCTACTTTGCTGAATCCGAATCTATCGGGTTGCCATGATGCATTGCTAGGGGTCAATCTTGGTCTGTGTATTAGTGAGATGATTAATTGGTGTTAATCGCGATACTGTACACTGCCGGTATGATGAGGAGCCTATGGGTCACACACATAGAAGACAATTTAAGAGCCAAGAAGAAAGAAGGGCGTTTTCATCTTTTAAGGCGAAAACGTATTTTGGTAATTTCACAGTACAATTAAATTTGCTGAGGTCGTAACCTTTATTTAATTTATTAGAAAAATTAAATAAGTGAAATTACGTTTAAATATGTGTTCGCATATATTTAATTAAATCATCATTATTGTTAAATGTTAATATATCGATTAGATATATATTAATTGATTTTTAATTGAGATAATGATGAATTAAAATAAATATCTAATTGGGAGTGTTTGGTAACATGGGGTGTTTGGGTTGGAGCCCAAGCTTATTCTATATGGGAATAGGGCAACTAAAATTTCAATATAAAAAAAAAAGGTTAATTGGAAAATAGAGTTAATTCATTATTCACCTTTTCTTTGAAAAGCAAAACACAGCAGCCCCATATTTCCTCTCCCACGGCAGAAGTGAATTTTTCATTTCATTCATTGATTGGAAAAATCGAAACATTTCTTTTCTTCTTTAATCTTAAAGCTAAAGAGGATCTAGCAAATCCCTCTTTAGTTCTTTATGGTTGTCTTCGTGTGGACTACGTCAGTTCGATCCTACACTTGGGTCGGTAGCAAAACATTCAAAGACAAATTTGGAGGAGCCTCCAAACGTGCGTATGTTTTCTAAACTCATGATTAATTTTTCTGTAGGTTTCTACTATAATATAAACTGTAAAATTATACCTTTGATCTTGGCTCTTTGGAATGATCCTTGTATTATGATTTTTGTTTTCCGCTGCGTACATGGATCGTTTCCTAACAGTGGTATCAGAGCCTAGGGTACCATATTTTACAGTTTTTATGTGGATGGTTGATAACATGTATTTGATAATATTATGTTGCCTTATAGAATCTGCCTAAAATCTGCCTTAAAAGCATGTTTTAAGAAATCTATTAATCGATTAATTTTAATTTGTTGATGATCTGCAAGTTTGGAATAATGGTTGATGGATTTTTTGTTGAAATCAGTGTGTATGATTAATTGAAAATCCGTTTGGAGTGCATATGGTTACTGTATGAATAGAGGCGCAACTATAGATCTATGTACGCTCGCCGCAGCGATATAACCCATCGCCGCAGCGAGCGTTATTCATGCTCACACTAGTGACGAAACCAGCGCTTGCCGCGGCGATATAAAGCATCGTCGCAGCGATCGTCCTTTGGACGAGCTGTTAGAGTAGATGCCCTAGAGCCAATCAATTATTGTAGAATTGACTCTTTGTAATAATGTTCATTAATCAATAAAAGGCATTTTATTCTATATCGTGTAAATCATTATTATTGCAATATATTTTGATATATATCCTTAGAATGGTAGAATCGTGACAAGGGTATCAAGTGTTTCAAATCTTGATAGTGAGAACCCTATCAACACAAATGGTGGCCATTCTCAAAACGTCCGTAGCCCCAATATTATTCTGAAGTAAGGGCACAGATAATACGGTAAGGCTATCATAGTGTTGAATGACCCTGTCGAATGGCAGTGACTAATCTTACTTGTCAAGGTTGTTTGGTGACAACCTGGTGCAACACATGGGTGCTTGCTGTAGGCGGATATACCGCAGCAAGTTCACTGGACTGACCCACCAGAGGATTCCATATGGATGGTAACCCCAGTGTCTATGGAACAAATCCTCTAAACGAATGGTGGTGCATGTCATCCTTAGACTTAAGATCACCGGAGCGCCTTGTGCACCGATTGGTGCAGTTTGACACTAGCCTAACGCAGTTCTATTCAGAGCTGTCAATACGGTGGTGATTGGCTGCATCAAGGAGTGTATCAAGGCTATGATGGATTAATAGAGGATTCATCACTCCCGGGTATGGGAAACGTTATCTCACGGCGCAATTCAGTATATGGCAATGACACTAAAAGTGTGGCCACAATGGGATTGAGTTGTTGCTCTATCCAGTTTATAATACAGGTCATTGGTCTAGAAACTGAATACATAATATCGAGAGTAACTGGAGGTTGACATTATTTCTATGCCTTCGTCTCGCCGAGATACAGTATGATGAAAGGATTGAATTATACGGTAACCATATCGTTGACAGATAGCTACTTTGCTGAATCCGAATCTATCGGGTGGCCATGATGCCTTGCTAGGAGCCAATCTTGGTTTGTGTATTAGTGAGACGATTAATTGGTGTTAATCGCGATACTATACACTATCGGTATGATGAGGAGCTTATGGGTCACACACATAAAAGATAATTTAAGAGCTAGGAAGAAAGAAGGGCGTTTTTGTCTTTTTGGGCGAAAGGGTATTTTGGTAAATTCACAGTGCAATTAAATTTTCTGGGGTCGTAGCCTTTATTTAATTTGTTAGAAACATTAAATAAGTGAAATTACGTTTAAATATGTGTTCGCATATATTTAATTAAATCATCATTATTGTTAAATGTTAATTAAATATTAATTGATTTTAATTGAGATAATGATGAATTAAATTAAAATATCTAATAGGGAGTGTTTGGCAACATGGGGTGTTTGGGTTGGAGCCCAAGCCCATTCCATGTGGGAATAGGGCAACTTGGTTTGCCTATAAAANAACATGGGGTGTTTGGGTTGGAGCCCAAGCCCATTCCATATGGGAATAGGGCAACTAAGTTTGCCTATAAAAGAAAAAGTGTTTGTGTGATTTTGATAAGATTTTAATTTGCCTTTTGAGAGAAAAGAAAACACACACAACACAAAGAAAAACACTCTCCCACGCCATTTTGGTTTGTGCCAAAATCAAAGTTTTCTTCTTGATTTCTTAAGGCCAAGGAGGATCTAGCAAATCCCTCCTTGGTTCCTTGTGATTGTTTTCGTGTGGACTTTTACAGTTCGATCCTACACTTGGATCGATAGCAAACACGTTCAGAGACAATATTTGTGGAGCCTCCAACGTGGGTATGAATCTAAACTTTAGATTTATTTTTCTGCAGATTCTTGATGTAATATATAAACTATAATTTATGTGCCTTGATTTTGGGTTCTAAGGAACAATCCATTGTTGTAAAATTTTTGTTTTTCCGCTGCGCAACTCGGATCGTTTCCTGACACGAGCGCTGTACAAAACAGCGTTCGCCACGGCGATCAAACCCATCGCCGAGGCGATCGTCCTTAG